ACAGCTTGTATGTGTGGAAAATGGAACAGGAATATTTACTGTTACTCAGAGAATAACCTAGTGAAGTTATGGCCTTTCTCCCTGGGAGCTGTCAAACAGAAGTGGACTGGCATTCTGCCAAAGCTATACAGGAGGCTCATGAACAAAGAGATAGTGAATTAGAACCTCTCAAATCTTCCAAGTCTGCACTTCTATGATTTAAAGATAGTCTCCTTTTCCAGTTTTGACTATTTGCAATAAGTTAATCTGCAACCTTACATCACCAAGAAAGTTAAAACAGGTTTTCAGATTTTCTCACCAAGACTGGAAACCATGAATGTGAGTGCCTGAGAGATTCAAAGAAATGGCTCTGCCCCATCTCCATCTCTCAGAGCTAATAGGAACAAGCACACAGTAGGCACCTGTGTACCATCTGATCCTCTGGAGCATGTCAACACCCCCTAGTGGCTTCACCTCATAGTTAGGGCCGGATTATTTCCTACCATTCTCAATAAAGAATATTTCATTTACTCTCCAATCTCCAAATATCAGTAACATCTTCCAAGAGGCAGATGAAATTTTCCAGCAAGATTCATTTTTCCTTTGGCCTCTTCCTCGATGTCTTCACATGTTTGATAGAACTCAGCAAAGGCTTTATTATAAAATCCAGATGAAGCCACCTGGGTTTTAGGATATAATTGGAAACTTGGCTGCTGCATGCATGGAAAGGAGAAGAAATAAAGTCAACCATAAGAGCACAAACCTTAATATATGAAAAATGTTCAAACTTTATAATTACATTCAGATAAGGAACTGCATGCTCTCCAAGAATAACAACCTGCTGCCTCTAAGAGTTTAGCATGTCTTTCAGAAGAAGTCTGTATTCATCTCTAATGTAATAGATGCTAAGGAAAATATACGGTGTAAGCATATTCTCTTCATTTGGCATGGAGATTGTGTTTTAATCAGCATTGAAGAGTTCAGGTACTAAAACCAGACAACCAACATTCAAATCCCAGCTTTGTGGGGCGCCTAGGTGGCTCAGTCAGTTAAGTGTCAGGCTCATGATTTTGGCTCAGGTCATGATTTCAAGATCCTGGGATGGAACCCCTCCTTTAGGGGGGGTGGTCCATGCTCAGCATGGGGTCTGCTTGAGATACCCTCTCCCTCTCTCTCTGCCCCTCCCCCTGATCACAGTCTCTCTCAAATAAATAATTTTTTTTTAATCTTAGCTTTGTTACTTACTGGCTACATGACCTTGAACTAGTCACTTAACCTCTCTGTACTTTATTTAGGCTCCCCATCTATAAACTGAAAATAATGTTAGTATCTACCTCACAAGATTATTGAAAGAATTATATGAGTTCATACACTTATAGAACACATGAAACAGTGCTTAGCACATAATTGATGCTCAACAAATGTTCCTCATTTTTATCACCACTGCTTTAAAATGGTAGAAGATAAAAGGGCCTGACCCTTTTAAAAGAGTTTGCAGAATGAAGTGTTATTTCTAGTAGGAGAGCCCAAAATACTTGCGTGAGAAACAAAAATGTATGAAATAGGGCCTCCTGTGTCCCCATGTAGAGCAGTTCAAAGCCAGCACAAATGGCCTGAGTAGAGGGCAGCTTTTGGAAATATTAGCTCTCGATTAGCACTAATATGCTGTTTAGCACATTTCAACTGAGGAGCAGCCTGGAACAGTCAATGTCAGGATGACAGCCTTGTTCTGTACACACAGTAAAATAAATGTTTGGGTAAGTGGAGTTTGCACTAGTCAAATGCTAACGAGTGTATTTAACTTGTAACTTGGGAGTTTATAACTTCCTTTATCCTCTGCTTTGAAGGTTGCTTGTGAAAGCTGACAGCAACTCATTGGACAATTTTCTTAATAAATGCAAATATTTTTAAAGGTGGGGAATAAATTTTGCTTTCAGCATCTAATTCTGTCACACTAATCTTTCCACGGTTTCCAATTTGCTTAGCCCAATAGTGCACCATTTATAAACCTTAAATTTATAGTGTTCACAGTAGACATTTAGCTAGATTGGTTTTGCAAGAGCAAGAAAGTGGTGATTTATTTTTAATATAAAAATACCCATCATTTGTTCAGTACTTTTTATTGTATCAGGCCCTCTTCTGCATTCTTTGCATGTATCATCTCTTTTAATCTTCCATAAATCTTTCAAGGCAACTATCTAATGTATTAGAGTTGTTGACACTAGCCAACTCCCACAAACCCCCAAACTCAGTGGCGGAACACAGCATAGGTTCGTATACAATTCAGTAATGTCTGATGAGGTCAGACAGTTCTGCTATGCAGCATCTTCGACGGGATGCCTCAGGGTTTGTGGTGCTTTCCACTATGGAACTCCCCTCCTCTTTTGCTTCCTGTCATGAGGATAGAGGAAAGAGAAAAAATGTGGAGTAGGTACACCAGCTGCTGTGGTGACTCACAGTAAGTCCTGCTAAGTAACATAGTGAGGTGTTTAATTAACTCTCGTTAATTAACCCTACGTTACTCCTACTCACCTCCCATTGGTTGAAATCAGTCACGTGGTCAACAAACAGGGAGGGAGGCGGGGAAATAGTGAGGAATCTGTAGACGACCTGAAATCCTAAACACACCTGCCATAATTTACTCTTCTGGTCCCCAAATATTCATTTGCTTCTCTCTTTTGTTATGTATAAGGAAAAGAACACAAACACAGGATACACCCCTCTTCAAAGGAAACAACCTCAAATTCCATCTGGTGACTGCATTGAGATCAAAGAGCAGACTTATGAGTTATGTGAAGCTCTTGTCATAAGTCTGGATGTCCCATTTCTTGATCCAGTGATCTGTAAACAAGAGGAAAGTGATCACTGTCACTCCAAAAGTCAAGTTTCTTCCCTCTCTCATGCTCTCCCTTTCTCTCTCTCTCTCTCTCTCTCTCTCACACACACACACACACACACACACACACACACAAAGCAAATGGAGTTACAGTGATGATACAAATACAACAAAAATTTAATGGAAAGCATTCTGGATATGGGCCTGGCCCTGTACTCTGGGGAGAACTTCATTGTCCTTCTCTATGGCCATCAGTTCTTCCTTCTAAGAGTCTCCGCTTGCTAACTCTGAAGCATGTGTTGGGGAGCCAGCCCTCCATGCAGTCCACAGTTCACCTGCTGGTGGGAGAGGTTGTTTTCAGTCTTCAAAGATATTTCTAGTACAGGCTTATACTAACTTTAGCAATGTAAGACCTTCAAAAGACTGGTAGGTTCCTAAAAGCCATCAAATTTAAGTACCATCTCTCTATTCCCTTTTATATCTGTTTATAATTTAACCATTTATTTCACAGGCTCATCTCCTTCTTGAAACACCTTGCAAAATCCAGTCAACAGCAGCCAGCACACACAATGGATGTTTCCCTGCCATGCACCCCGCCACCCCACACCCAGCCTCCAGTCCTGGAGCTACAGGGTGATGTGGCACAGATGGCTTTGCAAGTTATCGTAGATGTCACCACATTTCAGCAATTGTGGTGCTGGGGCAAAACAGGGCACATCACCTTTCCAGCCTCTAGTATCCATCTCCTTGCCACTCAGCTCCTAACTACTTGGCCAATGGTACTGAGTGTGGGTTTTTGTCAGAGCGGCACCCCACATCCTTTACTAATTTTGGTACTGGTCAGGGGAAGCAATGTTAACTGTTGCGGTATATCACAGTGACACACAACAGGTCCTGCTAAATAACGTAAATGAGGTGTTTAATAAACGTTTGTTGGGTAAATGCAACATTTTGTGTATATATACAAATAGGTTGTTTAACATATTTGTATGTAATCTTTCACAATTAAGGAAGCAAATGCTTAAACAAAGGAATTCAAGGTCACATAACTGGAAAATCATGGATGCTGGTCTGGGACAATACATGTAGTAGAGCCTGTAGATGTCTCCTCAGTAGAAGCCAGAGCAAATAGACTCTTTTTCTCTGCTTTCATAACAAAGAAAATCTGAATCCAACTGCTTCCCTGCAATTTTAGACCCTTTCCCTCTTTGCACTATTTCAGTTAGAGATATTGTCCCCTGTCCATAGCATAATAGTTACTTTAGGTGACTCAAAAAACACAGCAGAAGATAATCTATAGTTTTAATATAATGAATGAGGTTTTGGTCCTATAATTGTTTGCATAAATTTACATAGTAAGCACATGGAATAGATAGATCATGCCTGTGTTGACATCTCTATTCTCCACCAAATTCCTTATTTTTTTAACTAATGTTTTCTATATTAACTTAGGAAGTTTTATTATACCATAACCATTCATTAAATCTGGCAAGAGTATATGTTGTCCTGTTTGCTCTCTGTACAAGCTTTGACATATTAGCCTTCCCCAATACAAACTCAAATCATCGAAACTGGTGGATGATCTGAGCAGGTATTTACTGAGTACTTATTATCTATCAGGTACTGAGGAAGACCTGCTTTAAGATCTACTATAAATATTTTTAAAATCACCATTTAAGTTGGCTGTAATTGGAATTCATAAATTGTGTGTGGGGGGGGGCAGGTGGAGAAGCGTGGTTGAATGAGTAAAATCATTGCTTAAGTCTCTATGTCAGAGACTAAGCCAGTGACATGGACACTCTGCAAAGTGAGTATCCCTCCTACAGATTATGATTCACATACAGAATGCAGGTTAAAATAAGTCCAATTTACATGACATCACTTCAGGTATTTTCCCCTTTTATGAAACTAAAGTATATACTAATTTTACATTTTCAAACAGATGAATTAGGAAAGAATTGCATGGAAATAATTGTGTTAGCAAAAGTGATGTTTAAACAATTTCACTAGTATTACTGTTCTGTAAGTTGAGACAGAAACTTTTCTGTATTTTCTGTGGTTTTTTTTTCCCTTTCTTTTCCTTTTCTTTTTTTTTTTTTTTTTTTCCTCCCAGTGAAGTGATGCCATTTGGTCTCAAAGCATCACTTGAAAAGGCAAAGAAGCAACTGAAGTCACACAGTGAGAAGAGCTACGGATAAAAGAGAGAAAGAGAATTGCTCAGATACCTGAAACCTTTGCTTCCCATTTGCCTCAGTCCGGGGTTTGCAGAAGAACGTCACTGGCTCCTACTCTTTCCTAACGAGCGTATATATTAAGCTCTTTGAAATGTGAGTATTATTGGAAGGATTGCAGTTGCTTTAAATTATAGACGTTGGCAAGTGGTGGGGAGGAGCGGGAGGTTGTTTAAACTGAGAGACAGTTGCAAAACTTCGTGCAACAGCATGAGCTCCAAGCTTCAAATACATTCTCATGCTCAGAAGAGCACTTTATTTTTCATCGAGTTATTTTTTGTATTGTTTCGAAGCAGCTTTGAATAAGACGCACATATTTCTTCTTTAAAATTTTTAATGGTTTCTAAATTCATGGGACAAACAAAGCAAGAAAGCCTCATGTCTGGGGGGAAAGTTTGACATCAGCAATACCCAGAAAAGGTAAGCCACTCTTTTCATTGCACTTTTTCTCTTTTTCCCTCCTGTTTGGCCTTCGTCAAAAATATTTACTGGGAGAACTTAACAAAGCTGCTTGTAAAGAAATGGGGAACTTGTAAAAATAAGTCAACAAATTATGAATCAAAGGTTGGAAATCCTTAGCAGTCATGCCTTCTCCTGCTTTCTATTCTGCTTGATGCAAACCTCTATGAAAGCTTTGACTCCTTGAAAAATGGGATTTCTCTTAGAAAATACGTGCATGAGATTCCTCAGAATCTCCAAACCGATGCGTCTCACATTCACTAATGTGAACGGGCTCATTTATTGCGTGGGTCAGAGTATCTATGTTTTCTTATCCCGATATATGAAACTCAACTTCCGGAGCTATGACCTTTGTATTAACTTAGAAATCTTTGCCATGGAAGATTTTAACATCACTCCGAAAATTCTCTTAAGTGTGGTTACTTGTAACTACGTGGTTACAAGTTCTTACAAACTTGTTTTGCAGAATACGTTTTTTAAAGTTAACTAAATCATTTGGCTTTTCCTTTGTAACAACACAGTGAGGATATTATGGATATGATGTCCTCGGAGAAAAAAGTTCAACCCCAAGTTTGTTCATTCCAGCTGCAGTTGACTGACCATGCTAGAGTCTGAGTAGGGTGTCTCTGCCCTCTTTGTTGTGCCTCTGATACAGGTAGGGAGCAGAAAAGCTCGAATATTCCTTGGTTTTCTAGGGCATTGGTCATATGGGAAGTATGCTGTGGTTTTAGGTGGAGGGGTACATAAATGTGTGGTGTATTGTTCTCATTTCCCTGGGAAAGTCTCTGTTATCAGATTTCCCATCTTTCCGAGGCAGAATTCCAGGTGCAAATAACTAGCCATCCACAGAGATCTATCAGTAAATTCTTCTGGCAGACTGTGATTTTAACAGAGCGTTCATTCCTCCGCACACACATATATGCTCACAGGCGGAGGCGACAAAGCCGCACGGGTTTAACCAAGCTTGAGTGGTCTGGGACATCTAGGCAACCCCAGTCTGCAAAGCCCACTGGTTCAGAAGCAAGAGCAAAATGCCCATTGGGCCTGGGTGAGATGGGAGGCTCTGCCTGGGGAGGCATGCTTGCGTTGGGAAGGGCTCTACCTGCCTTGCCAGAACAGCTGTTGCTCTGTCTCTGGGATATTTTTTCCTCTGTATCAAATTCTAATTATATAAGATGGATTATGGTGGCTTCTCCTACATTTTTTGGTCTCTGTGGGAAAAAAAAAAGAGATTAAGATCAGAAGGAAGATGTTAACAGAGAAGAGAGAAGTCAGCTCGATTAGCTCATTGCAAGGTGGTCGAGAGAAACTGCTAGTTCCTTTCTCCATACCCAGTTGTTGGTGGAGGAAGTGAGGGATCCATGCCTGCCACTCCGCCGTCCTTCTCCTCCCCTTGTCTTCCCTGCTCTCTCTTCCTCCCTCCACTTCTCTCCACACCGGCCATGCAAGCTCAAGAGAGGGAGTAGTGGATTGGACGGACAAGATTATTACCATCTCCTCCTCTCCACCATTCCCAGGCCAGTTTGGGAAGCCCCCACCCTATTTGGAGGGGGGTCTCCAGGACCCCACCCCATGACTTCATCACAGGCAGCTGGGGAGCTGGGGTGGCCAGCGGTTGCATGGCGCCTGAGTACACCCTGGGGAAGGGTGCGGCCCAGAAATGCGCAGTGTGGCATGACGTGGCTGCTGGGGAGCGGGGCGCGGACTTCCCATCACGGGCTCTTGTGGAGGCTGGCGGCATTTCTGGAAGCCAGGCCCGCCAGGCCCCACCTCTGGGCCTGAGAAGGCCCCAAAGAGGACAAAAACAAAAAGGCAATTAGAGTTGCTAATGAAGCCCCAAGCCAGCTGACTCATCTGAGGCACAGCCACTGGGGGGCTTTGTAATGAAACCTGGACAACACCCTGGAAAGGACAAGTCAGGTTTGTCCCCAAAAGAACACTGATGAGAGGCCTGATGTGACCTAATAGTGCTCCTCACCTCATAGAGGCTGGGGAGAGGCCACATCTGCAAGGCGCAAAGGGAGGGCAATGTTAACTAACGAACTGCCAGGGCATTAGGGAGTAATGTTGTCTGAACCTGACAAGGGTTGGAGCCAGCGTCAGCCCAGGTTGCCAGTTAGAGTCACATTGGCAAGTCCATGACCCATGACCTGACGAGCCCCAGGCTAGGTAAGTGACCCCCTTGAGCAGCTAGGAAGATTGTATTTCACCAAACTCTAACTGAGCATCCACTCTGTGCCGGAAACTTTACCAAGGCTCTTAGGAAATGGCCCTTGACAGAGAGACCAAATGTTAACAACAGTGGAGAACACAGAGGGGCTTTGCCCATCAACCTGCTGATATCCAAAAAAGCTCCTCGTAGAGTTGCATTTGAACTGGACCTTGGAGGAAGAGTAAAATATCATGAGAGAGGCAAGGGGGGCAGGAGCATGCAGACAGAGGTCAGTGAGCAAAGGTGCAGAGGTGGAAAGGTCATGGCTTCTCCCATGAACCAAGGAGCTTGGGAAGGCAAGGCTCTGTTCCCAAAGTGCATCCCAAGGAATAAGACTCATGAGTTATTAGTAAGAGGTTAACCAAAAGGATTTCCTGGTCAGGCAAATTGGGGAATGTGAAAAGCTGTGTACCACAGTAGACCAGAACTCAGGTTCTGGGGTTATAAATATCTGATTCCAATCCCAGGTCCAACTCTTTAACTGCTGTGAGAACTTGGACCATTCAAGTTTCTTCATTTGTTAAGTGAGGATAATAATTATATCTATTCTTAAAGGGGATAAAGCATTTGAGGATTAAATGAAAGAATTCATGTAAAGGGTCTACTGTCAAAGTATCTGTCATGAAAGAGCTCAATGAATGTTAGCTACTCTTACTAGCTTTTTTTTTTTTTTTAATGTAGGACTTCTCACAGATTTTAGTTTCTTACTATATCCTCTGTCTCTCCATGAGCAGGTCATTAGCATCTGTGTTCCAAACTTATCAGAAGGTAAAGCCATCCCCACCCCCTTCCTGGAGTATCACACAAACTATGGAATATAGAATGCATGCTGGACAACAGCGAGGCTGACTTGGCCCAGTTAGTTGAGTCCACATGGGCTTCCACACTTGCATTTCCCAAGAATTAGTTGAAATTTATCAATCTCTACCAGCCTCTTCACGCATTGTCTTCCATGTTTCAAGGAAACAAAAGCCCCACAACTGGGATTTTCATATCTAAGAAAATTGACTTAAAAAAGAGAAACTATTGTTAACTTTTACAGGGGAAAGTGACAACAAAGCAAATTGTTGTCACACCCAAATTTCACACCCAAAAGGTCAGTCTTTGCCTGTGTTTTGAGGGTCTGCTGCATAGAGGGCAATGTACAGGACACAAACTAACTAAAACATGATCCCACGTTTAAGGAGTTATCAATCCCAGGGGGGAACAACACATGAGATTCAGTACCTAAAAGGCAAAACTAGATTTATAAGGAAGAATATAAGAGACCTCAAAGTGAATGAGAATTCACAGAAAAGGAGCTTGCAGTTCTTTGGAGTAATCAGAGTAATATATAACATTCTTTGATGTTTACTATGTACAAGGAACTATGCCAAGCCCTTCACAGTATGACTAACCCATGTATATTTCATAAGGCTACACAATCGGTCTTGACTTGCCCATCTCACAGATGAGAAAACTGAGCCCTAGAGAAATTCAATAACCTGCCTGAGGTATTCTAGGAAGTAAGGGGCAGAGTATACTCTCAAACCCAAGTCCATCTAATGCTCTATATTCCTCACCCAGGGAAGGCTCCTGAGAGGAGGGAATATGTAATTTAGCCTTGAAAAATAGATAAGGATTGGTGGGAGGGGTATTCATTCCAGGCAGCAAGAACATTAGTAAAAGCATGAAAGAGGACAGCGTGCAGAGTAGCCACAAATCTCCCTCAGCAGAACAAAGTACATGCATATAGGGCTGAGGGAAATGAGCTCAAAAGACTTGGTTGATTTAAAAAAAAAAAAAAAAAAAGGGAAGAAGAAAAAAAAAATGAAAGAAAAGAAAAGAACCAGACTTGGTTGGAATCAGATCATAGAAAGCCTTGAATGCCAAACCACAAAGTTTAGATTATTTTTTTAATGGAATAATCTTGTAAGTTTGTAAACAAGAAAGTTTATGAGAATGGTGATTTAAGATGATTAATCAGTGTCCAGAAGGGACGAGACTAAATCTCCAGTTAAGAAGTAGATGTTTGTCCAGACAAGAGATAACAGCACCAGGTGTTCACACAGCAGTTAAAGAGTGGAGATGCTCTTTGGGCCCAGCCCCCTAAACCTTCTACCCCAAAGCCCTGACCATCACAGTGGTCTGTCAGAATAATAATCTTAAGGCCTTGCTAAATCCAAATTCAACCCTATAAAATGGGAGAGGGTGGGGGATGGAAGGGATAGGAGGAGCTTGTTGACATCCAAGGGCCTTCTGACACCTCAAACTCCATGAAGATAAATGACTATGCACTGTTATGGAAATCATTAACTATATAGCTCCCTATTCAGTCACATTTCCAGACCGCATCTCCACATCAAGCAGGCATAGTTCCAAAAGAATTTGAGGGTTTGCAAAATTTTATGGCAATTACATAGGAGTGATATTGGCACGCAGTGATTGGGGGAGGGTATACTTTAATATATCCCTTCAGGAGAAACATTTACCCATCATCCTGGCTGTGTGCTTTTTGCAGAATTTAGCTGCCTACCTCTTGTGACAGAGTCACCCTAACTGCAATTCATACATCAGGACCTTGTAGTGCTCCAAATGGTAGTGACTCATGTAGGTGGCTTATGACCTCCTCCAGCTCCCAAAAAGAGGATCAGCTTCCAGAGAGTAGAAATTCATGCATCTTTAGATTCTTTGATGTTTTACCAATATGGCGGGTCTGACTCAATTTACAAATGCAGGTTTCCAAGAAGTGTCACTCTTTCCTTCAATT